ATATTTAGTAGAAATTTATATTATTTTTTTATTTATTTAAAAAATAATAATAATAATAAATATTATATTTTAAATTATTCTTATATCATTTTACTTTTTTACATATCCTTTTATACATGGGATATGGGATATTTTTGTTTGTGTATTTTTATAAATAAAGTTTAATAAAAAACTTCTCTGCTGCTAAATTTCTTTAAATAAAAAAATCTAGTAACAAAATAAAAGATATGAATATCCTTCCACAAATCATACTAAATTCAAACAAATTTTTACATACAGACCATATCTGGATTTTATATCATCAAACAATACATCCAAAAAGGAGGTCTTCAATTTTGATATTCCAGGAACGTTGAAGTTTAATTTTTTGCTGGATATTGCATTCATCAGAAAATTTGGCAATATGAGTTCTTTGCCACTAAAATGTACAATAATTTATCATACTCCTAATTTATTAGACACTAATCAACAGAAAAGCTTAAAAAAGTGTTTTTTTGGGCGTGCTGGCTCCAAAAAGCCCATGCAAGATTTTCTAAAAAGGCTCATATTTGAGATTTCTCCAATTATGCTTTATGAAATTTAAAAGAAAAGGCCTATCGCTATTTTAAATAAATAGTGATAGGTCCAAGCAGGATTCCCGCATAGCCTATGGGGCCAGTACGTCACTTATAAACATGGAGTCATAATATCCATTATTAAACAGGGTCATTAGACAATAAGAGTTACTGCTTAGAGATATTTACTATTATATATACTTATTTTGATATCTTACTATGATCCAATAAAATCCTTATCTTGAAGTTGAATTTAAAATTGGAAGGTTAAAATCAAATACAGATTGCGAGAACTGACTCAAAATTAGCGATCCAGAACAACTTACTTCAGTACATAACCTTTTAAGAATACTTACTTCTTTTTTAAATGTTATTCTTAATTTAATAATGGGAATAAGCTCCTTTAATGTATAGTCATCTATGTCCAGCAAAACTGTACCATCTATATCTTCCTCTAAAATGTATACACAAAAAAAAAGGTTTACAAAAATGTTATATTTGCAATTATAAAAATACTGTATTTAATGAAAGACTAAAATATTTATTATAAAAAAACCACAAATGCAAAAAATAAAGAACAAATTATTTTTATTGAACATATGGGTCTAATATACAAAAACATTCATCATATATTAATAAATATATTAAATATAATAAATAACAAACGTTTTTTAAAATTCCTTTATTTTATTTTATAATTACTAGTAAATAATTATAAAGGTGTCATTTCGCCTTACTTCAACTCAAGGAATTTTAAAGTGAGTAAGTTTCAATATATCTAACAATATATCCATAAACAAATCTTGTTTGTATTAATACAAACAATTTCCAAGTGTTACAACACTTGACTTTTCAAAGCAACTAGGCATCCCACTGATGTTATATACCCATCAAGTGGTTCAGGAGAAGCTTCACTTCCAACAGGTTGAATGCATAATGTGGAGGATGCAGTTAAGCAATATGAATGGCAATACTGCAAAAACTGTGAGCAGGTGCAAATATTTCCAACAAAGTACCACCTTTCAGAGTGTTTAAGCAGATAAGATATGCATAAAAAAATAGGAATTCCATCATCTTGAAGCGATAAAACAAGATAGTCCTTAACATAATAAGTTACATGATTAATAGATACACTTGTAGCTTTAAATATTTCACTAATATTATATCCAAAATAATCAAACAGTTTACCTTGAATATTTTTTGGAAGACACAAAGTTGATATTGTAACTCAATTCTTCTCATCTTCATTGTTTCGCAGACAATCATCAAAGTTTAAATCTGCACATTGTCTTATTTGATGTCGCTTTGATAATGTAAAAGTAATATTTTTGAAGTTGGAGATAATGTGGCACAACCTTTTAAAATAATTGTGCTTGGATTCAAACCTCATACACCATAAATGTCTCAAAGGGCCAAATAAACACAGCATTCTTGGGTAATGTATAAGATAATGCATTTTCGGAGTCATTTTGTCAGGATATTCAATATTAAACATATACAAGAAATTTTCAATGAGGTATGTTAAATATGTAATTTGATCACATTTAATTGTAAAAGAAAATAAAATGTCACATGTTTGACGAAACAGCAAAAAGACTTCCTAATACGATTGGAAATTATCACCATGGATAGAAAGATAATCAATAATAATTATTGGAAAATTTCTAAAAAGACACCAATTTTCTGAAGCTTTTCCAGAGAAATGACCATTAGCAGAAATCAAATGGTTGCGTATTTCACATAGGACATTTCTTGAATCATGAAATCCATATGGAAATGTTTTTATTTCATAGTTTAACTGGATTAAATTTATGATCTTATTCTCAATCAGTTTTTGGATTGTCAATTTCAGAAGTAGCGGAACTATCCCCTCTAGAATGTCATGATGTAAGTCTGGTGGAAAGGATTCAATAACATTAAAGTAAGGCAATCTGTCTAAACTGCATGATTTATTTATTCCAAATATTGCTTTATTTGCAGAATAACTTTTAACTGCTTGCAGATGAGTGTTATAATTAGACATTGTTTTTAACGAACAAGAATCTTCTTTGTATCTCAAAGATATGGTTTTATGATCAACTAAACAAAATCAACAAATTCTACCAGAACTGAAACAGCATCTAAAACCATCAAGCGAATGGGCCCCTAAATTGTCTGCAGATACTGAGCAATACAAACATGAAGACTGTGTTTAGTTTCTCCCTGAATAACAGTCACATAAGAATTCATTAAAGATATAAGTTCATCAACGAGCGGTTTTAATACATCATGATAAGATGAAAACTGCAGTATTTTAGAGCTAAACAGGATGAAAAGGTGTATTTGAAATGTTATTGAGCAATAACAAGGATGTAAATTTCCAATAGTGTAATATACACCACAAAGTTTTTGTTTGCCTTTTTTAGAACCTAAAGGGTTAACAGTTTCAAATTCATCAATAAACAAATGAACACGAATAGCAGTAGGATGTTTTGTAAAAAAAGAATGTCTTTTGTAAATTTCTCCATCACAATAGTCATACATAATACCAATAGGGTTTTCAGTTACGTGAAAAAACTCATTAAATATATCTTCTATACCCAAAACTCTTTCCAGATTATCTTTTACACTAATGTAGTGGTATTTATAAGTAATTCCGTCTGAAACTGTAATTTTTTTTTCTTGTGGCTCCACCATTTTTAAATCAGTCTTACAAAAATTAATCAATTGATACTCATGAATAAAATAAGAAAATACATCATAGAGATAGTCATTGTCTAATATATGAACTAAATTGACAACATCATTTTGTTGAATAAACTGCTTTATCAAACTATTATATGACAAAAAGAAAACAGTAAACACTTCCCTTATATCAATTGCTAAGTCAACATGAACTTGGCTTGCAACTACATGTTTTTCCCTTAATTTTAGAAACATATGACCTAAAGACTTTTTCAATTGAGACATTATCTGTAAAAAAAGACTTGGAAAATCGGTGTCCTGAATTAAATTTTCTGATAACCGAGCTGATAAATCCTCAATTATAACTGATGTGCTAAGTGTTGGTTTTGGGTCATTATCAGTTCCATGCGTTCTCCTCACATGCTGTTGAAAACTGTGAAGCTTTTTAAAACTTTTATTACAAGTTGAATAACAGCAGTTTATCTTTAAATTAAAATCATGTAAATGGTAATTACTGTAATGCCTGTATAGCTTTAAAATATTTAGTACTGGTGTTGAACACATTGAACAGTAGAAAAAAGTTGTCATTTTAGTTAAATTTCAAATGTTTCTAAAAACTACCTTTGAATTTTTCAACATATGATTCTAAGTTACAATTTATTAACCATTGAGTAACATTCAAAGATGACCAAGTTTCAGGTTGTTCCAAAAAAACATTTTTTTTTAAATTTCAAAGTGTTGTATAATAATTATAATAATTGTTGGATTGTTTTTTCAGTAAGTATTTTTCTTTTTTTATACAAAATTTACAGTTAAAAAATATAGGTTATGGCATAAATTTTTTACTCAAACTTACTGGCAAAATGTTAACAGCGATTCCAGACATTTTAGTAAAATTTTCAAAACTCATATAGTTTGGTATACGTTTGGTTTTTTGAAAAACCGTAATACTTAGAGAGTTAAGTATAAAACCAATTGGATTTTTAAAAAACCGAAAACTGCGTTATCGTTTTTTGAAAAACCAACGAGTTTTTTAAAAAACCACTATAAAACCGATTCATTTTACAGTGTATAGAAATCAAAAAATTGCGTAAATTTTTCAAAACCTATGATTGGTCCAATTCCAGACTTTTTTAAACCGTTCGCAAAAAAAGTACCTAAAATTTGTTTTATGATGAAATTTTGCATTTCATAATAAATATATAAAGTCTTGATAACTCTTTTTTATCTTATTATTCTAGTTAGAGAATTCTTTTTTTTTTGATATTTTTTTTTAACAGCCTAAAGTTTTAAAGTTTCTCAAATAAAGTGAAGGTAATTGATCCCAAACTTTTTTAATATGATGTATGTACCTTCCCCTACTTCCAAATAAATTAATTATTAAAAAAAAATTGCATATTTTAGTTAAAAAATTTTAAACAAACATAATAGCATACATATAAATAGCTAAATATAAACAATGTTATGAAAACTATTCTTGTACTTATTTTCTGGTTTTTTTTTAATTGATGAGCATAACAGAAAAGTATTTATTTTTACATGATTGCATTCTTTTAATGGAGATTCGTTTAAAATTTGATTTGCCATATCAAGTTTTTGTTTAGCTACTTTTAAACAATTTTTTGAAATGTCACTTGGATTTTTATACTTTTCAAATGTTTGCATGGTTATGCTATACTTTCTACGATTTTGTTATATTAATTTTTAGGAATAAAAATATCGACTAACAACGTTTCACTTTCTCTTCCATTACTTAAACGAACTGCACAAGTATGACCATGATCCCAATTCGTACGATCAGTTTGGAAAAATGTTTTTATTCATTTTGAAATGCTTCTACACAAGGTAGATGATAAAATCCAATTGGGTTCCCGGTTGCATCTTTAGAAATACAGTTATTAAAGCAAAAAGTAGAAGCACACGTCCATTTCACCATTTTAAAACCTTGGTTATTGTTAAAGCTAATAATCCAAACTTATTTTATAAACAAAAAGCCCGAAAATCCGTCTTTGTTTTTTTTTTTTACTATTTTTGTTTACTATTTACTAAACTACAAAGCAACATTTTTTAAATTAATTTTCCTTCAAACTGACCCAGGCTTCTTGACGTGAATTCTGGCTAAATAAAGAAAATACAATATTTGTTTTACATATCGTGACGTTAAAATAATAGGGTTCGATCTCCCTTTTGTACTGTTTAAGAGAATTTAACAATATTTGTTATAAATAATTTTTTATAAAAGTATTTTGCAAACAAAAACCGGACCATTCAGAACGTAACAAAGATATCGCAATTACGATACTGTGGGTTAAAACCATGAAAAAATAATAATTTGTTTATTATAATTATAACAAGCAAATTATGATTTACTTATTACCAAATTAAGTTGTTTCCCAGTGGGAAACGTTAGTGAATTTTTCCCTCTCCCTCCCTTAAGAACAAATTTCCACTGGGTGTTGTTTAATTTAACATTTAAATGAAAATTTTCTCATTTCTTTTCTTTAAAGGTACGTCTTATTAAAGACGTACAATCGATTCACGATTTTTTGACTTCTTTTTTGTAGACGTCTTTTCCACGTCTTTTTTTAGGCTGATAATAAAAAGACATAACAAATCATAAAAAAGACGTCTTTTATTTTCTTTTTTTTTTTTATTCGTCTAAAGATATTTTTTTTTCCCACTGGGTGGTAGACAAGAATAAGAAGGTTCTCCAAAATTTCATGGTAAAAAAATTAAAATTTCTGTTTTCAATTATAATATTATTTTTTTGTTGAAAATTATATAGTTTTAAAATACTATTCTTTTTATTACAGTTTATATTACTTTAAAAATTTTCTTTTTTCATAGTCAGTTTCAACCTTATTCAAAAAAAGTTAGAATTAACAATTAATTTATAGTCAAGCAATTTTAAAAATTATGAAATTAATAATTTAAGATTAATTACAAAACATAAATAACATAAAAAACGTATTTTATCAATATAAACAACAACAACTGTAAAACATTTAAATAGTTAAAAATTGAAAGTTAAATTGTCACAACGTTAAAAAATGGACATAGAACCCTATTATTCTAACGTCACAATATCACAACCAAATTATGCTAAACAGCTAAAAGTAAAAAAAATGTAAAATAAGCCCTTAAAAACTGTTATAAAAAATAATAATTTGCGTCATTTTGTAAAAAAAAATACTTTCTAGTTGAATAAAAGTTCAATGTCATAACTATATTAATATTCGGGTTTTTTAATTTATTTAAATAATTTTATTAATAACTTCAGTTACAATAAAAGTTACATAACAAAACATGAACAATCTTCACACATTTGGAGTAGGGGAGAGTTGACTTAATTGAAACACTTAAGGAATAAATATTTATTAATCAAAGTTGGCTTAACTATGAAAACATTTATGATTTGATTAATACAAACAAACATCCCTACTATATTTTTAACCATAATTTGACTTAATTGATTTCACTGTTATTGGAACTAAATTTGTTTTTCCAATAATACCATTTTGTTCCAATCAAGGCAACTGGTTCCCTAAAATGGAACACTTTGATTCCGTATTAAAAACAGGTTATATAAAAAAAAAAAACCCTGTAAAATCAACAAAATTTGTAAAAAATGATTTTCATTTTTACAATGCAAATTTAAAATGCTATTTCATAACTTATTATAGAATTAGTATTACTCAAATTTAAGTCTACAAACAAAAAGTTGTAAAAAGCTCTAACTATTATGACGTTCTCTTAGTTTATTGATTAAAAATCACTAAATAAAGTATTTTTTATAAAGTTTATGGTTGATACTAAGTATTTTTTTAATTGTAATTGAACTATTTTTACAACCCTTTGATGTTGTTACTGGTTAAGAAAGGAAAATTTCAATGTTCCAATCAAGAAAACTTTCGGCTATTTTGTTGTATCACTACAATAACATGCTTTCAATCCCAGGCTTGGTCGGGAAGCGGGTGCGATCGCACTCGGTATTTGACCACGGAAATTATATTTAGTTGCGAAAAACTGGCCAGATTTTTTAGGCGTTTTGAGAACATTTCAAAAACAAGCAAAAAAGCGCAATAAGATAAACTGGACCGATGAGAGACAGTTAAAAAAAGAAAAATAGTTTAAAAAAAGTGACATTTTTTGTATATAGTAATAACGTACTAATAATGATTGTTTAATAAAGAAGCAAATGTTCTTCAATTTATCAAAGATTATATATAATTTTTATTTATATACTTATGACTTATTTCCAGTGCTGGAAATAAGAGGTGGGGGGGGGGGGGGTAGAAGAGTCCCGGGACACACAATGTTATGGGCCGAGAAATAGTCAAGAGGACCTATCGGTATTTTTAAGTCATTTTTACGCTGTCGCACATAAAAAAGGCCGCCAAAATAATGCAGCCCCCGTCCCTGTAAAGTCCAACAAGATTAAACCAATTAAACTAACGCTACATAATTTAATTATAAATAAAAAAAGTTTTTTCAGTACCTCTTTTATGCTTCGCTTAGTTTGAAAAGTTTAACATATTTGAAACAATTCTTCTTAGTAAGATAAACAAATGAAATAACTAAATCATTGAGTTACTGTGGAAATTTAATTAGCTAGATAGAAATTAAAACTAAAAACGTTAGATAGAAATTAAAACTAAAAACGTTAAATTACTTAGTAAGGAGGAAGCGGAACTGCTTAACAATATCGCTGATGATGTTTAGTGAGTGGGCTTTATATCATTAACTAGTATTTTACAGAAAAAAGTAACTTTAAGTGTAGGTATAACGAGTTTGTAAGAATGGCTGAAGCAAAAATAGTTGAAGTTAATAAACCAATTTCTAATACATTACATACATATAAATATATCCCTTATATATAAAAAATAAGATTATACTAATTAAATCTATAATATACTTACAAAACATTGACAAGTTTAAAAATATAAATTTAAAACATTTATTTTTGTAAACAAATGTTAGTTTAAAACATTTATAGCTTTGTAGATGTGACTCCGAGAATGAGCCACTGTATTAAAATAATTGTTCGCTTGATAGTATATTCTTAAATTGATGCTAGAAGTCTCAACGAAAACATAACAAAACTCAAATTATACGATTTTGAAAAATAATTCAACAGAATACTCTAGAACATTTGCTTGAATTCTTTAGTAATTTCAGTTATTTATTAATTGAACCAATAGAATTAGTTGTTTGTAAATTTGGCGGGTTTTTTGTGTTTGCGAATATTCTTTATTTATTTTTCCGCACTAAGATGTTTGACAACATTCAAGTTTATATAAGTTTCCACGTACGTCCGTAAAACAAAATCTTTTAAAATTTACGATAAAATGAACTTATTATTTTGCGGACAAACAAGGAAACATACATAAATTGAAATGTTCTCAAAACGCCTGAAAAATCTGGCTGGCTTGTCGCAAGTAAATATAATTTCCGTGGTCAATTATCGAGTGCGATCGCACCCGCTTCCCGACCAAGCCTGCAATCCCATCGAATTAAACACAAAAAACGATATAACCTATATTTATTTTAAACTATAACACCATAGTTTACCCAGCACAATCAATATAGTGTGAACACAAAATTAGATCACTGAAAAAAAATGACGCAAAAAAACGCTAAATGAATGGTGTGAACGCGTTTTTTAAGGAATAACTTTCGAAGTGTGTCAAAACGTAGAAAAAAATTTGTTATACTAAAAAAATGCAAAATAAAGCCAATTCATTTTTTTTTCAAAAATAAATGCAAGTGTCCAATTAAGGCGCTGTTCCAATTTCGGCAACTCTCCCCTGCATGTGTTTCCTAATATTTCTTGTGATAACCTAAATAAAAAAAGATTAATTATATAAATTCTTAAAATGTCTTAGTATGAATAACTATCAATTCAAATCTAAAAATTCTTACATATAGTAAAAAATATCCATGTTACGACCCTTGATTTTATGTAAAAATTTGAATTTTTGTTATACTCTTAAAGATAAAAGTATAGTATTTAGTACCATAAGTAATCATTAACTAATAACCAGAAAAAATTTTAATCTGTTTCATGTATAAAATAATTTTTTTGTAGAGTTTTAGAGTGAAATTATTCAATAAAAGTCAAACGAAGAGGTTGGTAAAATATAAAGGCTGGGCTGATTTTAATTTTTAGAATTTTTCAAAAACAAATATCCAAGAAGCCAAAAAATAGTAGTCGGGAGTAAAGCATTATCATTAACAAAAAATATGCAAGCAAAAAATAACCCATGACAACAATATGAAAAAACGATTTCAATAGCAGTTGTAAAACCAATGGAGCAACCTAAAGTGGAAGAACCATTTAATCCGAATCGACCTAGAGTAAGAAGATGCTAAAAAAACATTTTATAAATTGTTTTTTTCAAAGAAAAACAAAAGCTTGTTTTTATTTATTTTTTTTTAATAAAGACGTTTTGAAAAACAAAAAGTCTACATATTTGTTCTTAAATATCCACTTTTGAAAAATGAATTTTTTAAATCAGTTGTTCGATTGAAAATTTTAAAAATTAATAAAAGGAATATAAAATATTTAATTTAGAACACGAAAAGAGCGGATAATGTAGCTGCTAATATTAGTAAAAAATTTTCCACGTATGAGTCTTTTAGATCTTCTTTTAGAGCTTTTTACGTCTAGCATCTTTTAATAGGCATTTTATAAACTCTGACTGAATCTTTTAATGGAGGTAATTAAACTATTCCTGAACCGCCTTTTTAATGCATTGCGTTGTTTTTGAAAATAAACTATCCCTAATTTTCTTATAGGTGAATTGAGTACGCGTTTAGCAAAAGTTTTTATTTTATTATTAAACAATCTTTTTGTACCGCGATGATGTCTTTTATCTCTACTTCTTCTGCAATGGCATCATTTCTTCTTGCAATATAAAAATTTCATAAAGAATGGGGAAAAGAGCATTCAAAAAAGATACAATAATGTTATATAAAGTATGATTTCGAATTAAATAGTCGTTTTACATAGCGAAAAAGCGTTCAACGTGGTTATTTTGACCAAAATAAAATTGTTTTAGAGTTATATTTAAGATGATTTATATTTTGTGGATACATATACGTTATTTTCATTTTCTCCTGTTCCTGTTTGAATTATTTGTGCTAGAAGTTGCAGGAAAAGGGTTAAAAGTCCAACAAATTTTTCTTGAAAAGTCACAGTAATTTAAAAAGTGTTGTTTCCAATAATAATAGCTGGCGGTTTGTCGTTGACATAACTGGAGTCACTTGTTGTATCTATTACTAAAAGTTCAGTTATATTTTTTTCGGGATTAAAATAGTCTTACAAATTTTTTAGAAAACAATCTAATTTGCTAATAATCAATTTGCCAATGCTCTGCAATTAGTGGCAAACTTTTTGTTTACTGTCTTCATAGTTATTTTGTTCTGCCTTTCGTTCTCCTTGGTTTTTGTTTAAAAGTTTGTAATTGACGTCAGTATTTAGTTGTATTAAACCGAGTAACTTAGCGTTCTTTCCAGATAACAGATTTTTGTGGTGCGATATAAATACGTAGAATGTGGATTGACGAAATTTGGTTTGACTTTCTATCAGGACATTGATCTGTCCTTCTATTTTAAGCTTTGGATTGTTATTCCCGTAGGTAATTATCTGTGTTTTAGATTTGTGTAAGCGAAGTGGTTTTTTGAGGAGGTTGTTTATCTTTTCAAATGTTTTATATTAAAGAATATTGATCAAAGCTCCGGTGTCTATTAAAACGGTTATTGTTATGTTCGACTGCTTCATTAGTTATCTGTTTAGTATTCACAGAGTACAATTTTCCTGAGTTTAACTTTGAAAGAGAATTTTCGGGTTCGTTGATATCTTTGTAAATTATATTTAATGGTTTTGTATAAATTTGGTAATTTTTGGTGTTTCTCTTGCTGTATTCTTGTATTCTGTTCGTTTTGTTTTTTACTTTTACAGACTGTTGCAAAATGTCCGATTTTCCATACGAGTAGCGAGATTTCCCCAAAGCTAAACATATATTCGTGTGTGAAAATTCGTTTCCGCATCGGTACCAAATTCTTTTTAACGACTTAGTATCTATCTTGTATGGTGCTATACTGGTTTGTAGAAATTTAGTTTTCTTTACTGTATTTACTTTTCTTTTTTATCGTTTCTATTTCAAGTTCTTCTATTTGAAAGTCCATCAGCTCGAATGTTTTTGCAGTTGTTAACAAATCCTGTAGAGTTTTGTTAGGATTTTGGAAACTATGATTCCGTAGTTTTGAAATGTTTGTACAAAGCTCAAATTGTTGTTTAACTTCTTTATCCTTATCAGCAAACTCGCATTTATTAACTTGTTTGTTTATTCAAACGAAAAACTGTTGAGTGGTTTCATTTATATGTTGAGTCATTTTCCAAAAAAAAAGACTTCATAGCTCGGGTTTACTTGGGGTTTCAAATGTTCATTAAAAGCTTCGACAGCTTGATGCTATGTGATTAGCGTATCTTGAGGTATAATGTTTTCATTAATTTCGTAAGTGTTATCTCCAAATAAAGTTATAAGTAACGAAAGTTTTTGTTTGTTGTCTGTAATTATAGGTGAATCACAAAGCAACTCAAATCGTTTAATGTATTAATTTCAGCTTAAAAATAATTTATTTGCATCTTCAATACATCAAAACGGTGGAAAATTTAGTAAATTAAGGTTTTTTATAGCCATGAATAAATACGCTGTTTATAAAATCTTCGTTAAATTTTATTTTAAATTTCTTATTTTTTTATCTTTGTCGCTAATTTAATGATAAACTACAACGTTTTTTATCGCTTATTTTCTGTGTATTGACATAAAATTACAATAACGTAAATATAGTTTTAAATGAGATCTCCATCTCAGGGCACATTTTTGCAAGTGCTTTTATTTCTGAAACTTTAATTGGACTCATTCCCTTACATTTACCCTTGTTTATATTTTATTGAAAAATTTCAATTACAATCTATTGCAAAAAAATTGTTAATTAGATGGTTCTATATATTTGTTCCCGTTAATTATTGTAACTTTATAAAATGTGTTAAAAAAAACAAAATACGTTTCCATTAAAAATAATTTCAATTAAAAAAAAATGTATGTGACATATCAACAGGTTTTTTTTAAAATTGACAAAAATTTAGACTTGAAACACACCTAACTTCAAATTGGCCATGATAACAAAGAATTTTCTCTTGCATCTTTTTCGATAGATGTATTAGTAGTACAAATCATATTACTTTAAAATTACTTTATATACAAAGATTTAAAAAACAAAAGCGACTATAATATTGTTGCCAATAACTTTATATATTTATCTATCTATCTATATCTATCTATCTATCTATCTATCTATCTATATATATATATATATATATATATATATATATATATATATATATATATATATATATATATATATATATATATATATATATATATATATATATATATATATATATATATATATATATATATATATATATATATATAAAACAGAAGCGTTTATTATATATATTATAAATATATATATATATATATATATATATATATATATATACATATATATACATTTATATATATATATACATATATATATATATATATATATATATATATATATATATATATATATATATATATATATATATATATATATATATATATATACAATAATTATAATAATAATAAAAATAATAACAACAACAGTAATAATATAAAAACAATAGTATTAAACCAATTATAATAATAATAACAACAACACTATCGGCACATCTAGTTTCTTTTTCGGAAATAAAACCTATATAGGCACGTGTTTTTCACGATCCAGGCGTAAACCAAAAGCATGTGTTTATTACGGGCAGTTTTACTAGAGTTTAACACGTGTTTTTTGAGGTTTTAAAGTCAAATTTAAATGTTGCATGTTTTTATCAGTGGTTTCACATTCCTTACGGAAAGTTATTCAAATATAATACTACGTTTCCATAACGGTGAAACCATTAATACTTTAACTGGTATTTATGGTAAATAGTAATAGTTTTAGAAAATATATTTAGAAGGTTTTAAAAACGCAACAGAAACCAAGCGTAACTATTTTCTGAGTTGTGCCGGCTGGGAACAATAATAACAACAACAATAATAATAATATTCATTATGATAAAACTATAGTAATAATAACAACAATGGTGGTAAGAAGAATACTATTGAAACATTTTAGTTTAAAATAATAAATTTAATAAACGATATTAAAATTAGAAATATATTGCAATAGAAAAGAGAAAAAATAATAGATGAATAGAAGCTCCGCTTTAGGGTTTTAATAATAAGTTGTAAAAAGATATAAGATTTATAAACAGTATTTTTCTTAAAAATGGTTAAAGAAAGCAGTTTTAAATTTTGAGAACGATTTAAGAGATTTTATTTGGGAAGGTAGGTTGCTCCAGGTTCGTATACTTTTATGTTGTATGGGTTCGTAGTCGTAATGAACAGTTCGGTATTTAGGTACAGATAATTTAAAGTTGAAAGATGATCGTAGAATGTATTTACAATTTTCCCTATAACTAAAAAAGTTGGTAAATGTAAGAGGTAGGTTATTATGATTTTGGTTTCAAACAAATAGGCAACTTGATAGCTAAATAAGGTCACACAATTTAAGAATATTGCTCATCCTGATATCTTTTATTTTTACCTTTGTTTCAGCTCACCAAGGCTTATCTCTTTTATTTCAACAACAAGTTACCTCAGCTAGCCAAAGCTCATCTCTTTCATTTTAGCAACATTTATATTCGTTTTATACAAAAGCGATTTGTGAAGATAATATGTTTATACAATAGCAATGTGTGAAGATAATATGTCTCTGTCAAAAACTTAAACTAAAGTTTTAAAAAAATTGATATGAAATTGATAAATTAAAAACTGAGTAAAGTTATATATTTAGTGTAGTTATTATTAGTTATTGACAAAATCTTATTATTATGTAATCAAAAAGACAATTAAAAGTAATTAATAAAAGTTACAAAATCTTTACAGATAAGAACTCATAAATATAGCAAATTCAAAAAATTATGAGGGATGTCTGTTCAGCTAATAATGCTAACATTAAATGGTGAAATGTAATACTTTGTCACAAACCCCTTTCATTACGTTGCATTTAATGCGTGATATGCAATTAATAAATAAATACAAAACTATTTTAATTAAAACCTTCTATAAACAATCATATATTGCTTCAAGTGAAGAAAATTGAAAATATTGAAACTTCTTGAACTGTTTTAAGTTTTTTTATATATTTTAATATTTAAAAGAAAATATATAAAACAATAAAATAATATTATGAAAATATTCTCTATGAGACAAATTCTAAAAATTTAATATAAGCTACTAAAACTTATGTAACACTTTGTTTACATACCTTTATAAAAAAGAAACAATTTTAAGTTAAACATATTTATTAAAGGAAATAAAGACTCATAAATGTTTAAATGGAGAGTAGCTATTTAAAAAAAGGAGTATATCTTTAAACAAATTTATAGAGTATACACATTTTAAACAAACTTACTTAAAAAGTAATAGTATAAGAAATACTTGAAATATAAATTTGTTCAATAAAGTTTACTTTAAATTATAAATATTAAAAAAATTATAGATATTAAAAAACTCTATATCTTTTCAACATTTCTTATAAACGCATTCTTTCAAGAATATTTTTTTAACACTTTTTATGACTACACTAACTACAAACAAATTTAACTTCTGTGTTTCATCATGACAATACACTACTTAACTAGCATGAATAACAAACTTGCTCCCAACAAAGCAAAGTCACATTATAGCAAAGTACACCACTTGGCTAGCAAGGTCAACACTTTTGCTGTAAACTAACCATTTCACAACAATTTGAAACCATTCAAACAACATAATAACCACTTACAAACTAAAAACAAATAACATTATATCACAAAAATGGAAACACTCATATATAAAAGATATTTAAACACTTACAAAATATAAGTCCATACAAACTTAACACAAATAAACGCATAATAAATAAGACACAAATATTAATAAATATATAAAATAAAAAAATATATAATTTAGAAACTTTAAAAATAAAACCTTATTTTTGTAATACTTGTTTAATGACATACCTCGTAATAAATGTTAAACATGGAAAAGCAAACGATCAAACGAGCTGATATTTTGTATAAAAGCAAACGGATTTTTTTTTAACTTCTCTAAAATAAGGTTTTAAACGAACTTGTTCTTTAACATATATCACAGAGTTGGCTGTGTGAGATGCAAGGGTTTTGGAGGTAAACACTAACTTTATCAAGAGTTTGACCTCTTGACCTTTGAAAAGAGCAACGTTTTCTCGAGTCATCATCGTCTTTAAATTTAACCTAAACTTTATCTAAAGTAATCTAATTGAAACTCTATATCCAATTGACAAAGGATTTAAATTGTGTAATTATTATAGTGCATGAGTTGAATAAATTACCTGACTTTAAAAGTTACTTTACTAATTCAAAAATAACAAAAAGCTCATCCTTTACTACAGAAGTTATCAAATAAAAATTGTCGATCTTAATACTAATTAAGCTGATGAGTCTTCCATCTTATTACTGATTAAGCAGATATTGAAAGATTATTAAAATTTTAAAGTGAGTTGCGTGAGTTCAAAAGTATAAAGAGAAGGAGCACGCTAAATCCTATTTATCATAAATGGTAAAAAAGTCCGTGTAAACGCGCACAATTGGGCAGCAGTAGCAGCAGCAGCGGTAAGTTAATTATTAATTATAAGCGAAGATATACAGATAAATCAATACTGATTTATCTGTATATAATTTTCATTTATGTTAATCATAGTTAGTTTGTGTATTTTTATTATTTTATATATAACTTACTTTTATCAAGTTTTGATAGATAATTATATCTTAACTGTTACTTATTTTTAATTATTATTGTTATACTTATTTTTAATTATCATTGTTGTATCTTTTTTTGCTTCTTCTCTTCTTAGGATCTTTTGTTTATTCTATTTTACTTTTTAATTATGGTAGTGAAATAACCATGCGGCATTTGCTTTAAGGCGGTAGCTAAAAATTATTCAGCAATTCAATGTGACCTATGTGACAAATGGATACATATAAATCGAGTTGACAAACTAACATAAGAAAAAGTCAAAACTTCAAATACTTGATATTGGCTAATTTGCACAAGAACATTTCTTCCATTCTCTAACATTTTAACGGATCTTGAGTTATCTACGATACTTGTAGAAAAGTCACTGAAATTCAACGGGGTAAAAAATCTATCTGAAAATACATATTTAAAAAAACTTTTTGGCGACCTCAATGACATATCTTCCACTTCAATTAACCGCGAATATGTAAATGTTCCTATGTACAATAAGTTGTCCCAAAATTCTTTAAGTTATCTCTATATAAACATATTATTTTTATCTTATCATATTAACGACTTTAAAATACTATTAGCATCTTTTGATAATTTGCATGATATCATTGGGATTACTGAATCTAACTTGTACGATAACGATCCTTCTATAACAAACGTTGAATTAGAAGAATATGTATCTGTTCATACGCCAATCCCAGTCAACCAACCCAGCTGGGTCCCAGCTGGGATTGACTGGGATTGAGCTGGGATTGGGTTCGGGCTGGGATTTGTTCTGGGTGCCAGATGGGTCCCACATGGTGTAAAAATATTGCCGCAAATAAAGTCTGGGTTTTAACTGGAATTGGCATGGGGCTTCCGTAAATGGTTTACGGCTGCTTTGAAGATGTGACGCATAGTTTAATAATAGCGTGTATTTCTAATCAAAGCAGTTTTTTTGGCATCGTTTTTTATTGTTGAAATAAAATTACAAAACTACAATGTTAAATTTTTTTTAAAATAGTTTATTTGGTTTAGTATGCTTACAGTAATGGCTTAATGTATTTAATTTTAATGTTTTTTTCAAACAAATCTCATAGACTTTTCAAAAAACCTTTGATTTTGCTATGTTTTGTTAAATGACTTTGACAAATTTCATTTTTTTTACATATTTTATATAAGTCAGATTTTACATATTTTATATAAGTAATATAGTTAATATATTTCTCATAGTATAAGTAATATATTATCAAATATGTAACTTGTAGAAAATATTAAATCTTACATTTATATTATGCATTTAGAAATGATGTCTAAAGTTTATACATAGCAGTGTCACCTAGTAAAACCTTACTAATAGTCATATTATCACTTTACAAA